GCCATTTTGTCATCTCCTCTCCAGGGGCAGCGCTCGGCGTCACAGTACGAGAAGCTGCTCGCTGCCGTACTGCAGCACCGGGCGCTCCAAACACTGCGACCCCAGATGCCGGTGGCCGTCTCTGGGAACTCCTCGGAGCACTCACTAGGCATCCCTACCACCCATCGATTCGAACCAGCAGGGGGTTCCCAGCGGGGGGTCCCTTCGCTCCTCGCTCGCTCGCAATCTCTGAGCCCCCGCTGGGGAAGCCCTGCCGGTCCAAATCGATGGGCAGCCAGGGAAGGTTCACATATGGCTGCCTGTTCATCCTGCTTGGCAGATCGCCCAAAGAGGGGGCGATAAACTGGAAAGGCGCGTGACTCTGCACACACCGACCCTGCTACTACACTGCGTGCGGAGATGGGGGGGCACATCCGCCCACGACAGTCACACTGGAAAAGGACAAAGTAAGAAGATGATGTTGCTAACCACTGCGACACTGGAACGGCAGGGGGGATGATAGCAGCCAGGTGGGCGACACACGAGCACAAAGAGTTCAAAGAGGTTGGTGGCTGGGGAAGGTGGCTGGGGAAGAGGTAGGTGGCTGGGGAAGATCACAACAAACAAAAGTCACGGGAAACACCAGCACCGACATCGGACACGCTTGGTGTCTCTTGCAACGGCGGATCGTTCTTCCTTGCGGACCCCCGCCGTCATTAGCAGTCTCCCCCTAAGATAAGCGGAGCCGTTCCGCTGACCAACAAGCTTGGTGTTTGCACGCAGGCCCTCCGACGAAGCTCGCGAACCCCTGGTGTCTGGAACGCCGCCCAGGGTCTTCCCTGGAAGACTGCGCATGGAATGGGACTGAGAGCACCACCGTCTGGCCAAGGTGCCGTCCATTGCCACGGGCCCTATGGAAATACGCGCTGCGAAGCCCTGCTCGCGAAGGCCCAGACGAGCACCCGCCGCGGCGAGCCGGAGCACTGCACCTCAGGCCGAGCAGAATTCCAGGCCAGCTGCGCGACAGAGGCCCTAAGGCGGCCCTGCGAGGAGGAGGACGAGGGCGGAGGGACGGAGGGAAGGGAGGGAAGGCGAAGGACGGATGAGGGAGGGCGGGGAAGGGGCGGGGCTGGCAGGGGGGCGGGGCGGCGTGAAGGAGGGAGGGAAGAGAAGAGGCAGTCGGTCGGACCTGGCCTCGACGGGTGATCTGCACACCAGGGGAGAGGCTCGCACCGAGCAGCGTGGCCTCCGAGCTGGCGCGCCGCCAAAACTCAGACCTCGGCGTGCCTGGAGCCGACGGGCCTACCATTGCCGCCGTGAGGAGGGATGAGGGGGGCTTGTTCAGAGTGCGTGTGTTGGTGTCTGCCTTGCTGGACAAACCAAAACGTGGTCTCTGGCCGTTGCCAACGGCCAGAAAGGACACGAGGCGGGAACGAAAGTCGGGCGAACAAGAAGCGTCCCTGGACAAGGGGGACGGAGGTCCGGCAGGCCCGCTGGAGGCTGCAAGAGGTCACGCTGCTTGCTCAATGCAGCCCGCTGTCTAGAGGCCGCAACCACTGAGACATGCAGGGCGCGATAGCGTGGTCAGATGCAGAGAACGAGGAAAGCACGAAGAAAAGCAAGCGCGGGTGCAGGCATGCGCTGCCCCCTGGCGATGTCGCACGAGCGGAGTGGGGCAGCACAAATGCCCGACCGAAGCAAAGGAATTGGCACACACACACAAACAAACACGGACACTGTTTGAGGAACTGGAGCGAGAGGGCGCTGTGGGCAGGGCCGAGCCGATAAAAGTCGAAGACAAAGGTCAGACAAAGTACGAATGGAAACAACGCCAGACTGGGCGCCAGACGCTAGCAGGATAAAGAAACAAAATGAAATAAACGCATCGGTATGCGTGTAAAGCAGATCTGGTATGCTCACTAGACCAAGAAACGGCGATACTCGCCCGCTTCAGTCCTTGTCAAAAGCACACGGCCTTGGCATCTGGGGGGTCTGACACATCCACACAGTACAATTCTCCGAAGCTCAAGTCATAAGAACACTTGAATGCTTGAAGAATGAAAACGGGAGAGAGATAGAAATCCGGGAATGACGCCACCAGGATATGGCCCGGCTGCCACGCCTTCCTACTCTCCCGATGAAGAAGATCACGCCTAGAGCGTCCTACATCACAACCGAAAAGAAAATGGGAGCACGCCTGCTCCCTCTGGAGACAAATTGCCGAAGCACGCAACAGTGACGGGCAGGAATCTTCAAAAACTGGGGAAACGAAAAGGTACCGATACCCCTACTCCCCAGACCTCTCCCGGGGTGCGTTCTGACCGGGATTTCGAAGTGAATTCAGCGGTGGTGGCAAGGGCCTCCCAGGAGGCCCAAGAAACGCGAAAACGAAGGGTAGAGGTATGGGTGCCTTTTCCTCCTCCGACCAATACCCTAGAAATCGATAAGTGGGCCACCGAACCCACGACTGCGGAGAGGCATCAGAACACGTCGAACTATCGAGAAGTTCGTGCTCGGCAGC